GAAATATTGATCCCTCAGAGAGACTCCACATTACAGCAATCACCTTTATCTTTATCCCTGAAGAAGGGTGGAAAACGCCGTGCCAGATACACTGGCAATATAAGAAAAAAACAACTTCAAAACGCGGCAAAGACATATGCACCTCGTAATCCTTTAGTGAACAGATCTGCAGTTGCCAGGTACCAGCTAGATAATCCTGAGGTAGGCAGAGCTGCTAGGTCTCGATATGAGCATACTAATCCTCGCCGGAAAGTTGAAAGACTGACACTTCCATGGAAAATAATGGTCAACTCAGGAATGACGTACAATCATGACCTGGCTTATGAGGCAGAAAAAACTATAGCTCTTGGTTCTATGAACCACAAGTGCAAATACTGCAATGCTCTAAAATGGAAAGAAGAAACCCCCGGAATGTGCTGCAAAAATGGCAAAATGCAGCTTCCATCTTTTGAACATTTGCCGGAACCTCTCAACAGCCTGCTTATGGACAGACACCCCCATCATAATCATTTTATGGACCTTATACGAAAATACAATGGGTGTTTTCTAATGACATCATTTGGGACTAAAAAAATTGTAACAGAAGGATTTATGCCTACTTTCAAAGTTCAAGGCCAAGTGTATCATTTGGTAGGGAGTCTCATGCATAAACCTGATCAGAATGCCCAATTTTTACAAATATATTTTGTATGGTTTGTATGAGGATGAGAGGGAAGTACGCTCAAGGTGCGCCAATTTTCCTGACGTCAAACCAGGGTTGGTCAAACAATTGCAAAGCATGCTCCATGAAAAAAACAGTTATGTCAAACAATTTAAGACCACGATTAATGCGGTGCAAAAGAACTGTAAAGAATTTAAAGTGGTCATCCGTGCAGACAGAAAACCCACTAATGCTCATGTTGGTCGCTTTAACGCACCAACACAAAATGAAATAGCTCTAATAATTGGAAGTCAGCAATTTGAAAATAGAGACATCGTACTTTAAAGTCACGATAATAAACTACAGCGTATCAGTGAAATTCATCGAGCGTACGACGATCTGCAGTATCCACTTATGTTTTGCCATGGCGAGGACGGATACTCTATTGACATACCATTGTGTAATCCCACTACGAAATTGCCTCTTGAAAAAAAAGTTTCTGCGGCATCCTTTTATGCTTACTGAATTATGATTAGGCAAGATGAAGTTAACCATATTGTATACTTCCGCTCCCTCTTCAGTCAATTTTTGGTCGATATATACGCAAAAATTGAAACTGAAAGGTTGAATTTTATTAGGAATCATCAGAAACAGCTAAGAGCTGAGAACTATATTCATCTCAAAGATGCTGTGGGGAGGAATGATGTTAATGCAACTGATTTAGGTCAAATGGTAGTACTTCCTTCATCATTTACGGGCGGACCTAGGTATATGCATGAACGACGCCACCCGGGCGGTGTCACCGACAATAAAAGGACGGCTGCCGGACAAAGGGGATTGGTCAATCCACTCCAGTTCCTTGAGCAGAAGGAAAAATCTTTGTTCAAGGATATGAAGATCGAGCTGGAAGCGCTCAAAGAGGTGGCCAAGAGGTCCAGGGCCGAGGGCATCAAGGAGCGGATCGACAGCGTAGCGTCACTCTTCTCCGCGCTGGCGAGGAATCGCTCAGAGCAGAGGTCTGTCGCGGCGACAGCTCCGATCGGGCCACCACCTGTCGAGGACGAGTCGGCGGTGACGGCACTCCGGCGAGAGGTCCGGGAGTCGAACGCCCAGATAATGAAGACTCTGGGCGAGCTTCGTTCTCAGGCCGTGGCATCGGCAGGCTCCGGGAATATTCGGGATAAGGTGAAAGGAGCTCTGGCCGAATTCACTACTGCGACGGCAGAGGGCCCAACATGGACCGAGGTCATGAAGAGGAACGCCAGGCGAAAAGTCCCCGCCGAAGTCTCCGTGGCGGCA